CACCAGTCTCTACTTCGCTGACCCTACGGCTCTTCTCTCTACATTCGTCTCTCTTTCGTCGTGCCTTATAGCCATTCTGCCCACCCACTAGTGGTAGCACTCTCGAGTGTGCGAGTATGCGTTTACATGTATGCGTGCGGAGATGCCGCGGGCGGTCAAGAATCGCGAGTTTATGGGATTCGCTGACCACCGCAGGAGTCTTTCCCCGGTCTCGAGGCGGAGGCCGTTTACCGGCGTTGATCTCCGGGAGATTCGACCTCCGAATTTTTGCTTCTTTTACCGCCCCCTCGTTTCTAACCGTCCTCCCCTTTCGTCGCCTGCCTCGCCATATCCATGGCATTTCTCCCGTTTGTCGGATGCAAGCAGATCCGGTGTAACGCTCCTGTCCTCCTGAAAGAACGTTCTCGCTACGTCAAAAACCATGGGAAACACCCGCGGGGCATACTGTGCACAGACGGGAATTAGGGGCACTTCTCGGGGGCGGTGGCGAAGCGACCGTTAATGTTCACCCGCTATAATGTTCACCGGGTCCGCTGCCGTTCCACCGAATCGTAAATACTTGCGGATCCGTGCGAAAACAACGACAATCCTCGCGGCGAAGTAATCGTTGGACAAAATTAAAGTTTGAGCAAAACAGATTGGGTATACCAATAGATGAGTAATTATAGAATAATCAATAAATCTATGTCTATCCAAATTTATTGCAAATATTTATTTTAAACTTAAAAATTTATTGATATAAATAATGTTGACAGTAATATGAAATAGAATAAGAAAAGAAAGCAAATATATACATGAAACACGTATTTACAATATGTGTATGTGTTATGTTATCATAAAAATACAAACAATATATATCTATATCTTTTTTCAAAATTCGAAATATTTTATCAATTTTATAAGCCGCTAGCCGTATCCATGTTTGTATCTTTCAATTTTTAGATATTTATAAATTGAAATAATTGTTTGTTGAAAAATTAAATTAATTATTATTTTACTATTCAATTCTTACTAATTTAAAATTTTAAATAATATATTTTACTTGTAAACTTTTCAATAGAGTTTTCATTTAAATCTTTTGATTTATTCCATAAATAATATTTTATTGTGAATTTACAATATCCTATCTGAAGTTTATTTAAAAGTGCATGTTATCCACATAAATCTTATAAATCTTTTTTTATGCAGTATGCATAAGGTCAACATTCTTTCTATATTTTTTGTAATATGGGATTTTTCTTGCGAGTGTTAGATCAAATAGTCACTGTTTGTCATATACAGGATTCTGTAGATCAAAGAATATGCTGAGACAATGCCACAGTCTTTCGTCATTCTGTTGATTTTACGATTTCAAAAACTCTTCGGCGTATTTCCATATTCGATACGTGACCACGTGGCCATTTGGTCACCATCTGTAAATACAGATGTATGTTTCTCTATTCTTTAGAGGATTTACAAATCCATATGGCAAATCCGTTCGGATTAGCGTATTTTGCGTTGTAAAGAACAGACTATCAAGCAGAATCTTTTATCAGCTTCTTTTAGTTTGGTCGCTAATTCCTATGCTAATCAAGTTTAGCGCTCATCAAGTTTCCATTTTTCTTTGGCCTATTTTATTTCCACTTTTTTTCTGGCACGTAGTTAATTTTAATTTTTGTCGACAAATGTCGGTGAAGGCCTTATCAATACAACCTCTTAATTCCGTCACAGCGCCTCGGACATTCGTCGAGCTGCATTTTCGAGGTTGCAGCGAGTTCTGCGTTTCGTTTCAGGAGTAGCCAGACTTGTCAAACCAGAAATTGACCGTGCATCAACAAGCGTAACCGATCAAGGCCGTCCGGAACTTTTATTTAATCGCGTCATATTATTTTCCCATGGCGCTTGTAACTAATTTTTTTGCTCAATTAGTCAAGCATCAATACGCTTAATTAAAAAAGTCACGAGCCTTTTTTTGTTGAAATGTACAATTAACGATGTAAATAATTTGTTCTTTTGTTAACTTTTTGTAATTAAGGAAATTTAATTGTTCAAGGACGTGTAAGATTTTGAGGGAACAGAGATATGACGAAATTTAGAAAATGAAAATTTTAAAAATACTAATATAGAAATAGTGTTTATGTTAATAATTTATCAAAGAATATCCTTATTCCTATTCTAATATTATTATTATTAATTAGTAATATTAATTTTCAGTATTCTCGATATATTTTCTCTTTTAATAGAATATGACAATTTTTGAAAATGAATTCATACTCGTATTTAAAATAACATGAAGCACAATAAAAGTCCCTTATCTATTTATATCATTATTGGTGATCTTTTTATTATCACAAACACAAAGGATATGATGATGCTTCATGTTTAAAAATATAAATAAATCAGAATAATCACGACTTAGAAGAATTTGAAAGACGGAAGAAATACACATAATCATATCTCTGACGAGAATTTGTAGATAATCGTCGTTTTTTTAGAAGAAACGAGTTGACACATTCTCTTGCGAGACGAATCGCTTAACCTTACGACGCTCTTACGACGATCTTTTTTTTTGCATCAGGGTACGACAGTTCGAGCATTACCGCATTTTCAGTTTTCCGGTATTTACGGGTCGGTAAAGATTTTAGTTTTTTGCCTCCTAGGTATCAACACATTGACCGATATCTTGTATAGAAACGAAGGAATGCTGAGTATACCTGCGTCGCCGAAACGATTTTAATGGCTTCTGACCATGCTAATCTTAAGTATGATTCATCGCGATCTTCTTTCACATAATCGCTCTTCAAAATAGATTGAACTCTACAGTTACACAAGCACTTTCGAACAACGATTAATTCTCCGACATGTGTAGAAAATTTTATGTAAAAACTATAAGAACTCTCTAAGAACTATATAATTTCACATCCTATATGCAATTAAATTCCACGAAAAGATTAAATTGTTATAAATATATTGTAAATAGTTTAAACAGATATGAATTTAAATTTTATAAATGTAGGGTTTCTCGACTTTCGATTTGAAAATAAAATATATTGTTTTCTTTTACGCTGCGTCAGCATGACTTGCAATTAAATAATTGTATCGAGAATTTCCACCAAAAGCAGTTGTTTTCACGCGGCTTCTTTAAAAACCAATCTAGTGCGATTCTTAGAATTTGATTATTTCAATGAAAATTGTTTTGATAAGATATGTTAATCGATAAAACTTTTCGTGTCACCTGCTGGCTATGGTCTTATCGATAATTTTATCATTATCGACTTACTTTCGAGTTATCAATGATTAAATTGTATATCATCACGTAAGGACGGATAATCTGATAACGATGAGAAGACTACGTTGAAATATTTTCGTTAACATCGTATATATTTCATATTATTGTATTATTATGCGTCAAATATATGATGGCTGTAAAAGTCTTAAAAGTTAATTTTATTTTTTAAGATAACATTTTTTTAATTAATTGCATGCTAGCATTAAACAAAGATGCGGTGATGCTAATGATATAATTCCTTTTGTTGATTCAATCAATTCATCATTTGCACTGAGAAATCAGTTAATCCACCGAACGAATCATTCTTACAAATTTTTTCCTCGGTGATAATTCCGCGATATTTCTATCTGACATTTTCTATAACAAACAAACGGATCTTGTTAAGTATTTTGCTCCTTGCGTATTGGCCTATACGCGCGTGTATTTACGGCGCGTTGTAAAAAGCGCTGCTTTCGATTTACGGCAAATATCGGTCGCGCGCGCGCGCGAGAAAAAGAGAGCATTAATGACTGTTATTTTGGTCGGCAATTTCGCGCGCAATTGCACGAGTCAACTCGCGAAACAGACACGCCCGTGCTGCTTTCGGTCGCCTTTCAATTCGCATCGAATTCAAAAAGCAACCTCAACGCCGGACGCGGCCGATCTCTCATTTCCTTTCGTTCGTAACGTGCAAAGGCTGCAGTAAAAAAATCTGTAGCTCTCGAAAAAATGTAAAATAAAAATTTTGTTAAATTGAATTGAAAATTACACATTTGGAAACTGATGCAATCATGGAAGCTGATGCAATCATGGATTGTAATTACGCTTTGTATTTTCGAGAAAGCTTTTCAATAAATAACACGAATTAGTTGCGATTTACATTTTATAACTTACTAATTGATTATTGTCGTTAACTATTATTAATTATTTGATGTTTCTTAATAATTTTTATCAATTGTTTGAACCTAAAACGAGGAATGGACTACATATATCGGTTATCGAAATGTAATTAAAGAATGGGAGAATGGAGGATTCGAATGATCTATTTAATTGTAATTTGGATTATCGTAGGATAATTA